TTGACACAGTTGACTTGTTCGCCTTGAGGAATCCTGTATGCAACTTAGATTAATAATTTACCCTACCGAACATACATGAATCCTTATCATTTAAGAGAAGTTTACCGTTAAATTATCAATTGTTTTTCAACTTTTTAGTTTCTATTTACCCTTGAACAGGCATAATACATCTTTAATACAAAAAAAACCTGAAAAACAATTTTAAAAAAGTATTCACCTAAAACACCATTTAAGAGGGCATTTTTTCGTTTGAGTGAAATATGGAATATATTTTCTCGAAACATGATAAAATGCCATATGTTTTCACGAGCCTGGACGGCGAGTGAAAATATGTGGAATTTTATCATGTTGAGTGATAATATATACCATATTTCACGAAAAAAACAAACTTTTTATTTAATTTCATTATCAAAGAAAAATGGTAATGGTTACGAACCCCCTTGCTTGCTACGCAACTGCAATTGTACAGCGCGCAGAAATATAATTATTGTCTTGTTTTGAACGCGATATTTAGCGCTATATTGTGACGTCACGTAAACAACTCTTTAAACGTCTGTACATCGTTAATGACTGAATTAAAGATATTGGTGTTCGGATTTATTTTCTTAGTTAGACCATTTTCTATCATTCTAGATAATTTTCAAAACCAAATTCTACAAATGTTGTTTTGTATTTATCAGATTTTTCACACAAAATGGTGAAAATAAATATGAGTTTTGACTTCGTCCACTTTCATATTTATATTTCATATTTATTTCTAAAAAATATGAAATATATATGACTGATATAGCACCATATTTCAAGGGTAAAATTAAACAAAATTGCATATTTTTCACGAGCCGGAACGACAAGTGAAATATATAGAGTTTCATCATGTTGAGTGCAAATATATTCCATATTTCACGGAAAAAAAATAAATAAAATAAAAAAAACGTTCTATACTATTGTAACCTTCAAACAAATGTTGTTTACGAACACATATTTGTTACGCAGTTGTGCAGCACGCAGTAATACATTGATTATTTATAGATGCGTGACGCGGTTCGGATTTAATACACAATTTATCACAGCCATAACACTCCTGACGTTGGATTGTATCAAGGATCATTATTCCAATGAATTTCACAGCAAATCGAGCCTATTTAGATAATCTTCAAAGTTGAGGAAATGCGTTGTGAGGGTTCTACCTTTATGTAATGGCCATAATGTCACAAATCGTTTCAAATTCACAAAAAAGAAAATTGCACAACGCTAAAGTTACTGAGTAACACTTAATTAAATGAAGTTAAACACAAGCCCACTCCTTGGGTAGTCATACAAAATGCAATATATATAACAGAAACCGTTTTCGCGAACATCGTGACCATTTATTTATTAAAATGTAATTTAATTAAATAAATGTTAAGGGTTCATGTATGAAAGTAAATCATATAATAAACTCATGTAATGAATTTATTTTGTGTCTTTATGTTCGTTTTTTATATGTACTGGTGTTGCTGTGATGTAAAGTATCATTTAAGCAACGGTGTAATGTACATTGATATATACATATTTACACCGTTACCTACAAATCCCTGTATGTAAACATTTATGGTTACCTCAACGGTGTATGGCACCTTTGTTCATGTATTTTACGTGTTTTTTTTTTTTTGTTTTTTTTGTTTTTGTTTGTTTTGTTTTTTTGTATATTTGGCGGGAATATTGATTATATATGATTTGTTTATTTATATTAAATTGAGTTTTTATTGAAGTTTAGAACCTTTCAGACTTACAAAAATGAAATATCTTATGGAACTTATAACATTTTATTGGATTAAAAAAAATGATTCTTTGAAACATTCTTTGATCATTCACATGAAAAAAAGAGAAAAGGATATTAAGTTTGAGTAATCATTACTTGTTGTTCTTTGTTTAATGTGAACTTTTTCCAATGTAGCATTGGCAATATTGTTACAGCCGTGACTAGCAGACATTGTAAATTCGACTTGAAGACTGTATATCTTTTTACAGATAATTTGATAATGTTTATTCTTTTTTTAACAAAAGGTGACTAATGACAAACAGAAATTCACATTTTGAGACATTCACATTAACACAAGTGGTTTCGTCTTTGTATAGGATATGGGTTTATTGGGTATATTAATTGGTAATCTTCTGGTCAGAACGTCTCTGTTGACGTACCAGTTCCGGTCATAATATTTTATGCTCAAGACAACCAAGGGTTTGTGATGTTCTTTTTTCACTTTGTATAATAATTGGTGGCATCAGTTTTCATTCATTACTTGTGCTAAAACTTTGGAAAATAAAGTGTAAGTAAATTATTTGCTTCCTTTTAAAAAATTTTTTTTTTACGACCGAACAAACAAGGAACAAATAAATATTTTAATGCAAAATTATCATTTTTTACAATTTAATATTTTATATTTTTTAAAAAGAAACCAGCATAAATTTTTTTTTTTCATAAACAAGTAAACCCCGAACAATATGTTTTTATATAGTAAACAAACAAAAGGATATATTTATATTAAATACCAAATGTAAATTACTACAATACCAGCTCTGATATGCAATCCACCTGTTTAATATTTGGAAGAATATACCACACTTTTTGCAAGAAGCTAATGCTCACATAATTCAATTTAAAGACCCAGCCTAGGTATAAAAGGGAGGTAATGGCTGGTGGGTGGTTTCCCTTGAATTTTCAAACTGTATTTAGCTCAGAGAGAGATTTTCAAATATATTTACAGGAAAATACCATTTTTTACCAATGGAAAAATTCCTAAATGAAGCCAAATGATTAATCACTGATTCTAGATAACAAATTTGAAAATGTATGACGAAATAGATTCTTATAATTAAATATAAAATGATGACAGAAATTCAAATTTGAACTAAGGGGAGGAGTTTATTATGTTTATAACCATGTGACCACATTGTTTGTAAACATCAATGTATTACTTACCTTGATATAATGATTTTCTAAAGTTTGTCGGAATAATCCACTTTGCATCAAATGAATTGTAGTTTATATCAATAAAAGCGCATAAATCCAGTACATTTCACAATGAAATATATACAGAAATGATAAAACTCTTGGCTTGTATTTCTCACTATTGTAAGTATATAAATTTTTACAGACACATTATTTTGAAGTTATAAATACTAGTAGTAATTTTCAATTTCATCAAATAAGGACAGAAATAGTGCCCAGTGTAGGATTGTACTAGTAGATTAGGATACAGTTTCCTTACTTTATTTAACACAAAATTTTGAATTGCATTTTCTCAAGTTGAACAAAATGAGTGCTCAGAAGTAATCATTTCTTCAATAAAGAAATACATTGGTTCTTCGTTACTTCCTTTTACACCAAGCATTGCGTCTTTACATAATTGAACAAAAGATTTTGTATCTGATTTTTAGCTTTTTTGCATTGACCTTTTTTCCATTCAAGGCTTTTCTTTCACTTGACACATGAGAAACAAAAACATTTTTCACATGAAAAAGTAAAGTCAGAATCAAAATCATTAGTTTCATCTGCTCTTTGTCTTATAAACAATAATACTAGTTGGCTATCTCTTTGATGGCGTAAGCTATATTTCCAGTTTCCTTTGACATGTGAGCATTGTCTATGACCTCATTTCTGTTCTCTAACATTAGTGACACACTTTTTCCAAATTCTAATTAATGAGGTTAAACAGAGCTTCAATGGTTTCTGCTCTCAGTGACCAGTAAAAACTACAAACTAAACTTATCCATTTATATTGAATAACACAAATCAATGAAAACACGAAACAAAATTACTATTTTCCAAGCACAAAAAAATCCCTCCTAAACTGATTTCAGACAAAGGTCAGCTAAAATATAGAAGATGCAAAATGTGTAAGGTATGGAAGGTATAATTGTGTAGTCACATTTATTGTTAAATATCATGTAAGTAAAAACTAAAACAATTTTTCACACTGTTCGTCTCAGAAAGTCTTCTTTAATTAGATAATATATTAAAAATAAAACCTTACAAGCCCTGTCACCCCTTCTGTATTGTAGTGTTGTATGCCAATTAAACACCGAAATGTGATATTTTGTTTTATCTCTGCTGATAGCAGCATAGCAGTACACTTCCTAATTAAAATATACCTGAGGTATAAAATTATATACCAAAAATTATACCATATATAAGTTGATAATGGTCAAAACAGGAAATATTACAGAACAGAACAGAAAAATTTATTCAGTCTTATGCATATAAAGCACATCGACATCAACCAATATATAAATACATTTGTGACAACAATGACATAGTTAAAACACATCATTATATACAAGTTACATAATCAAAGAGTGTTTCAAAAGTTTAGATATCACTTTTTTAATGAATCGATTAACAAAAAATGTTACTGTTTATAAGTTACTCTTTCCGAATACTAGTTAATGCAATACATGTGTAGTTCTTCCTTTACGCGGCATTACAAGAATAGATATATCTGACCCTTTGGTATCAAGGGATAAACTTGAAAGTCCTCAAACAGGAAATCTACAACTGGTGATCAGAAATCAGGCCAACTTTTCTTGTCTCTCTGAGAAAGGTAGATTTTTTTGTGTGTAAAAACCCATCATCTGCTTTAGCTATTTTTTAGAAAAGTACACTTAGTCAGCTTTTGCTGGACGTCTATCACTGATAAAACAATGTAGAAAGAGGGTTCATTTGCATCCGATAGTCTTATCGGATGTTGGGGGTTTAGGTTAAGTTCAATGAAATCAGTACTATATTTACTTCTTGATTGCACACCACCATTTTCTAAAATGTTAACATTATTAACTCTTGCAACAGCTGTTTTATAAATGTGCCTAGATATTTAGCTTAAAACTTCTTTCAAGTCATTGCAAGATTATTGTGGAAAGATTATGCGGCCAATACACATCCTGATGCTTTTGGAATCTAACTGAAGTAGTTCTTATCAACATTTAAAAGAAGAAGGAAAAACTGACAAAGTCATACTTACATTAAATTATTTAGAGAACATACTGTGTTTTCGAAGTGCAAATCCTTTCCACCTTTTATGTTTTTGTCTTCTCTCATTTTATTCAATTCACTATTTATCAAATGATTCTTAAAAACTGCAATACGTCCTTCCAATTTCATTTAATTTAAGTTGTAGATATACTGATATTTAAAACCTACTCTCTTAAAATACTAGTCCATTTACAGTTAAATAAAAACTGAATATTAAAATCGTCTAAACGTTTGAAGACGTGACAAAAGACAAAATATATCTAAAATAATGCTTCCTAAACGTTCTGTGAGAATTTTAACGAAGTTGTTTTATTATCAAAGCACGTTAACACAATATGAAAATTATTTTACTGTACTATTTATAAACTTTATGTTTTAAATTTAAATATAACATGAATGATAATGACTCATCGGATAGCTGGCGTTAATAACCGGTCTCGCGTAATAATCACACGGGCGAAATATTAGCAAGGTTTATACATATCTTTTAAAACTTGCCTGTAACTTTGTTTTCTAACAAAGCGCTTTAATAAATTGGTATAAAACTTCAGCATAGAATAATTATTTAGGTGCATACATTTGAATATTCTGACATTATTTTTTCATCAGATTATATGTATATAAATCATTTAGACAAAAATGACAATTCAAATTAACAATAGAACTCGACAGCTTTGCCTTTACTGCATTTAAGTGAAGCAAATGCCAAGCTGCCATGTTGCCAATTTATGATCACAAAACTATGGTGTCTGATTTGTGCCATTTTCTTATGTTGTTTGGTTGTGGTAGCAAAAACATAAAAGAGTGACAGAATTAGAAAAACATATTTTTTTTTTCATTTGTCACACATTTTTTATCTTTTGTCAGTATTTTGTGAATGGGCGTTCAACCACGACAACACAAAACACAAAATGACGGAGGGGAGACATTTATTTCCATGCGACAATAAAAATCATTTTATTGCCCCATATTTAGCGTACAATCGCTTAAAAGTTGGCGTTTTATCATACTGTCAAATGTGCGTCCCACCGATGCCACTCTCTATTTTTTCATTTTTTTATATTATTGCAGTCAAGGGGGTGTATATGAAATGACGACACGAAAGATTGAAATTAATTACAGTAAAGAAAGCAACAAAACAAACAAAATATTGTGAAACATGATCGGGACTCAAACATAGGACCTCGGAATATCATACCGTGGCTCTACCAACTGAGCTACCCGGTCTCCCCTAAATAGTTATGTTCTTAGGCGTGAAATACTTTCCTGCTATATTGAAATTCATCTTCAAATTTCTCATGTTACAAAGCAATGTGAATTTGGCTCTGAGCTATATTCAGTTAAAGCCTCAAGTTGGGCGCAGAATGTCACTGGGTGAGAAGAATGTGCAGCCTGACCGGGACTCGAACCTGGGTACCTCGGAATACCGTACAACAGCTCTTACCGACTGAGCTATCCAGCCGCTTACAAATCATCTCCACTGAACCGGAACACATAAATAAACTATAACTCCAAAGGCTTGCCTTTTTTGAAAATAAGTTAAAATTTATCAAACCCCTGTCGTGTAAACTCCTGGATCTACATCATTTTGTAAACATTCAATTTCTATAAGTCAATAGTTGGTTTCTATATATACAGGAACATATGATGTATTCATTGTCACTCCACCAATATCTCTTATACAAGTTAATCAATTTTTATAGTTATATGCAACAAGATTAAAAATATTTAATGCATATAAAAAGTTTATAATATTAGTCCACTTTGATTAAATATGTTATGTTTAGAAGTATCACACAAGACTTGTCCTATAAAATGGTAACAGGGTGAAAAAAATGTGCATTATCCAATGGAGGTGATCTGTTGTTGTGTTGTTCTTCTAATCGAAGATTCATGAGATACTAAAACCCATTCTTCACCATGACAAAATTTGTCAACAATCTTACAGATGGGACCAAAGTCCCAATATGTTCAGGATTGCTAGGACCAGTTCTCTCTAAGCATATTTGTTGTTGATGTTTTGATATTTACCAAGTTATGTTAAAATTTAAATTAATTTATTTAAGTAGATAGATTTATTCATTCCTTTTCTGATTTAAAGTCCCATGAATGGGTTTGGTTTTGGCATAAATAGTATTTTAATTTCCCCTGAAACCACAAATATAAATTTATTTAGAGTCCTTAAGATCTTTATGATAAAATCTTAACTAACAACCCAGTTTTAAATGAATAAATATAAAATTCCTAGCCGCAACAACTAGAAAAACCAGTAAAAAATATTTATATCTATATATCCATAATTCCTGGACCTCCATCTGCTTGTTGAACTTATTCAACTGGTAAATCTTTCATCTTATTATATTCAATTCATAAATATTAAATATTGTTTTTATGACTATTTACATCTAGAATAGTCTGTTATGACTAAGATACAAACAATTTAGTAAACATGAGTTGCATTCCTTATAATGAAGAAAAAACAAACCCCAAAAAAATGCCATGAACAGCAACATTATAAATATTTGACTTATTTTGGCAGTGACTTAGCAGAATTCATAAAATAAACAATTTCTCCATTAGTTCATCCTACATTTTTCTACCTTCCATTTTCTGTCTTATTAAGCTATGAATATATGTATCATATTTTCTGTTAATATAAATATCAATAAAATAATGTCATATTGACAAGATATATTGTATCATTGTATATATGTGTTGTGTAGCATGTATACCTTACTAAATAAAATATTTTGAATCCTGAATCTGTAAACAGTTATGTTGAAATATCTCAATTAAAAACTTTTGTTTGTTTTTATCAAATGCTGCAGGCTCGGTTTGATAATGCCTATGGCTATAAGAAGGTAGTGGTGATAATTATGGGTCAATGTTTAAATGATATTTTCAATGGATTCTTCTGATTTGATTTACTTTAGATAATTTAAACCATATTTCCAGCTTGGAAAGGGGTTTCAGTGTGACCTTGCCCATCTTCTTTTTCGAAATGTTCTTTGATATTCGTTTCTGCCGGGTACTTATATACCAGTCGAATACCAAATATTAAAATAATACCCAGATTCCTTCATATAATTTATCAATAATTAATTTTATTTATTATTAGTTAGTAATTTTACTGTTTACTATCTTTATTATGTTGGGGGATATAGTGGGTTTATAATGAAACTGACACTGGGGATATCATATGGCAAGTTTCAACCTGAACTGGAGTGCAGACGGAAGATACGCATTAGATATCATTTCTGGCTTGCACCAGAATAAAATTTAAAATATTAGTATACTTACACATTTTACATATTTTATATTACTCAGTATTAGTCCAAGATGCTTACTGCTTGCAAGAAAGTCTCATATTAGAGTATTTTTTCTCCTTATCAGATCTGAATTATCCTTGCTAGAGGTATAGGTAAACAAGTGACAACAACAATTTCTTGCATATCAGACAGGATAATGTACTGTTTACGCCGGTGCTAACAAACCTGGCTTACACGCGCGGCTTTAAAGAGAATATCTAGCTCTCGGGTAACTGTTTACGGAAAACTCTGCAGAGCATCTTTATCGCTGAAAACAATTATGCTTAAGCTTGATGTTCAGATCTGTACTGACAGGCGGTAAATGATTCTTATGTTATAACCAGTATGACTTGTACCAGTGTGAATACATTCAGTGGTTTGTAGCAACCACAGTTTGATTGCATAATCAATAAAACAATCTTCTCTCGTGTCACTATATATTATTTTAGCACTTGTTCATCCGTGTCTGTCTACATTATTCAAATAAAATGAATGAGACCGGTCGTAAATTCATTCAAATTCATCTTTCTTCTTCTTCTTGTATAAGAATGATATCCAATATATCAAATCAAAATAAGGTAACATTTTACTCGCTATGACATAACCTTTATGCGTTCTAATTGAATTACGGTATGCATTTAATAATAAGTGGTATACAGCAGAATTTTAGCTCGATCTATATGTTATGATGTTTCATCTGTGTGCCTATAATAATTACTCCCTATAAACACGAGCATTATATACTTACCATATTAAGTATTAACATAAATAATGCTTACGGTGATGTAAATGTCTCAATACTCAAGTTTTTTTCAATTAACTTGTGTTGAAGCTGCCTTTTTAAAACTTTTCTTACATTTTGTCTTATATATATAACGTTAAAATGCTTTGCAATTCATTTTGAAGGCATTTGGCTGGTGCAACATTGTAAAGTGACCCCCATAGAATAATGAGCCCCGGCCATCATTTATTTAAAATTGTGTCCCCATTCTATCAAATACTGACTACCTTATATATATAATGACGTATGACCCTAATTTTTAGCTCGACTATTCGATAAGAATAAGTAGAGCTATTGCAGTCACCCGAGCGTCGGCGTCGGCGTCAGCGTCTGCGTCGGCGTAACCACTTATGTTAAAGTTTTTGTAATAGTTCAAATATTTTCAAAGTCCATTGACATATGGCTTTGAAACTTTGCACACTTGTTCACCATCATGACCTCAACCTGTAGACAGGAGGAGGTAACTCTATCAAGCATTTTGACATAATTATGCCCCTTTTTCGACTTAGAATTTATGTTAAAGTTTTTGTAATAGTTCAAATATTTTCAAAGTCCATTGACATATGGCTTTGAACCTTTGCACACTTGTTCACCATCATGACCTCAACCTGTAGACAGGAGGAGGTAACTCTATCAAGCATTTTGACAGAATTATGCCCCTTTTTCGACTTAGAATTTATGTTAAAGTTTTTGTAATAGTTCAAATAGTTTCAATGTCCATTGACATATGGCTTTGAAACTTTGCACACTTGTTCACCATCATGACCTCAACCGGTAGACATGAGGAGATAACTCTATCAAGCATTATGACAGAATTATGCCCCTTTTTCGACTTAGAATTTATGTTAAAGTTTTTGTAATACCTCAAATATTTTCAAAGTCAATTGACATATGGCTTTGAAACTTTGCACACTTGTTCACCATCATGACCCCAACCTGTAGACAAGAGGAGGTAACTCTATCAAGCATTTTGACAGAATAATGCCCCTTTTACGACTTAGAATTTATGTTAAAGTTTTTGTAATAGTTCAAATATTTTCAAAGTCCATTGACATATTTTTTTGAAACATTGCACACTTGTTCACCATCATGACCCCAACCTGTAAACAGGAGGAGGTAAATGTATCAAGCATTTTTTTTACTATCAAGCACTAAGAATAGTCGAGCGTTGCTGTCCTACCGACAGCTCTTGTTCTATAACATATTGACCCCACCTTATATATTCTATAACGTCAACGTCATATTACAATTGCGTATACTTGTTGTTG